GTGTTAATTCAACTGAATCTTCCTTTGAATTGAAATTTTTTTTTTATTTAGGTTCAGCTGTTCTGAAATCTTTTTAAAAGCCTTGTTCGATGAAAGTTTATGGCCGAGAAGAATGGTATGTTTTTTTTATAAAAGCTCGCTAACCCAATGGAATGCAAGAGTTGTGACGCCGTTGGTTAAGCAATCTAGGAAAGTTTTTAATTTTTTATCTTTGCAGAAGTTTCTTTTACCTTGATCTAACTGCTGATTTACCTTGATTGGTAACTTGATCAAACTGCTGATTTATTGATTGTACTAAAATCTCTAGAGAGCCAACTGAATTAATCATCATGACAACTTTTTGATTTAAAGTTCTTCAAGCAAAAAACTGTCAGTCTCTCAATGAGATTATAAAAGCCCAACTGTAAAATTATTACGCTCAATAACCTTTTTCGGTGTAAAAAGCCAAAAAAGATGTTTTGAAAAACACGTTATGATTATCAGAATTGTTACGTTACAATACTGATTGTATTGTGAGAACCATTGTGTATATAAACCACATTAATAAATGATCAACAAAAGTTTTAAAAAAAGTTCTAAACAAAACAGCATAGTTACAATTAAAAGTACCTGACTGCATCATCCATTTAGTGAACTAAATTTTTAGTTTATACTTGATAATATGAAAAATATAAGATATATCGAAATTTGACAAAAAAGTTTTTTTCCAAAGATATTGTGTGCAATTTTACTCCAAAGATATGTAATACACATTTTATTCCAGAGATATGTAATACAAGACTGACGAAACTTAATTCAACAAAAGGTTTTATATATAAAATTATTATTTCTTATTTAAAATTATAAGTGTATACTTATATATTGGTTTTAGGCGAAACTAATATGTTCTGGCTTTATATAAAATTCCAATACTTTTAGAAATAAAAACAGTAAAAAGTTTATATAAAAATAATTCCACTGATCATGCACGTTAGTGGAATGTTTTTATATAAAGCCTAATTGGTAGTTGTATAACAAATTATTATTATAGAGATCATTTTATAACTTAGTAACTTAGTAGTAGTATTTACTATGGCGCAACAAGCAAGAGCTTATGTAACCAATTCTGGTTTTTAGCGGCTTACATAAAATATTACAAGTTATTTAAAAAAACTTAGTCGAGAATGAATTTGCTTTTTAAATATTTTAGATGTGTCGCTTCAAAAATTTCAATTTCTTACAACATGTCCAACCTTAATTTTAAAACTATTGACGATGTTTTCCGGTAATTTATTTCATCCATTCACAGCACGATTTGTACAAAACTGATGACATTGTTCGTTATTTTTTTACTAAATCTTTTACTAATTTGAATTTTTGTCCACGCGTTCACGGTTGTTATTTTTATATTCATGTAATGAAAACGAATTTTGACAGCACCAATTTACAATATCAAAGTCATTTATTATTTTAAAAATTGAAATTAAGCCAAACTGGTTTTGACAAATTTTTCCATAATTTTACATATAATGGACGTCAAGGAAATTAGTGTTATGTATGCAGACTTCAATTGATCTGGACAAGTGATGTACTGGACAAGTACCTGACTGCATTGAAGGCGTGAATATATTGGTCCCGCTAATGCGTATGAACAGTTTTTTATTACCAAAGGACAAATTCACTATTATAATGTAAACTAATTTGAATTCAAATAACGGTGTTGCGCAATGTTTGTACGGTCATCGAATTTAGGCAGCTTAGCGATAATATTTTTTGTAAATACATTTTGAAAATGATTATTTTACGTATTAGCTATATCCTCCGGATCTGTGATCACACGTTCGTTTACTTTTTTCAAAGAATATATATTTGTCTTGACATTTTTGATTTACTTCATATATGAATACAAATGTTTTGGATTATATTTAGCGTCTGAAGCTAACTTTGATACATACTCATAAACAGATTTTTTATGTAACTTTTTATATTCTAATATATTCTGTTTGAACTATTGCAACAGTTTTGCATTGTTAAAAACACATGCTCTACATTTAAACAAAAATTTGTTTTTTCCATTTTTACTTTAATTGACACCAGCATGCATGGTTTACGATCTGTTTTTACATATTTGATTTTGACAAGTTGATCACACGCATTATTGTAAATATATAAAAAGGCATTGTAGCATTCGTTTACATTTTGATTTACAAAAGTTTTGCATTTACAGTTTGAAAAAAGTTTAGACATTAACTCGTAATTTGTAGTATGAAACATTTTTTTGCACATCATCTTTGGTCGTGGTTTCGATTTTGCACATCATCTTTGGTCGTGGTTTCGATTTCGCACACCATCTTTGGTCGTGGTTTCGATTTTATTTTGAAATAAAAAGTCAAGACATTTTGTCCTTTTTTTTAGTTTAATAAAGAAGGCAAATAAATGTTATTAAATTCAAATAAATGATATTAAATGTATATTAAAATCACCGCACACTAAAAATCCGCCAAACTTTGTTGCTACAAAATATTTTGCATGTGTAATAATTTTAATATAGGATCGTTCATGTAAGGTCCATAAATACATCCTAAAATAAAGGGTTCATTGACTAGAATAATTTTGCACCGTACTTGTTCCAAATCATTATATAACCTTTTATTCAAGATTTCTCACGATTTAATTGAGTTGTGTACATATATATCCACACCACCGCCTCTGAATTTGGTACGATCTTTACGGTAGAGGGTATAATTTTCAATACTTGATAAAGAGGTCTCCGAGTTTCTCACCAGGTTTCTGTTATGAAAATTAGATAGTGCTTACTTACTGTTATATCGGCAAAAAATTCTGACATTTTGTAGCGATGTAGCAATTGTATAATAGCTGAGATAATTTATCAACAAAATTATTTTTCAAAGTTTTATTGTATTTATAGTTATTAGATTGTTTGAATTAGAGTTAAACAAAAGGCAAAATGTTTTACTCGTTTTTTATTTATAGCACACTGTAACTTGCTTTGAAATTACTGAATAATTTAGTTGGTTGCTATGCTTGACCATTCTTGAAAATTTTTTTCACACTATCGCCTCTATTTTTGAAATAGAAACTTGTATTCTTGTTGTTTTTAATCTGACATTATTTTTCCAGGACTAGATTTTTTCCAACAAGTCTTTTAAGTTTTAGTTTAGTTTACTTAAGTCTTTTAGATTCAATAAGTCTGAATTAATAGAAATTTTTTCATATTCTTTAAAGATCCATATAAAAAAATCAAATTTTTTTTTAATGGTGGAATTTCATCTTTTGGTAAACTGAAGTTTATTCTCTATTTTCATCACATATGTGCCTTTATGTTTTACTCTGAACATTCACAAAGGTATATCTGTCTTTAGCAGTCTAAATATCAAATTTTGAAGTCACAAGCATTACTCAATCTGTTGAGTAATTTTTAAAAAAACTGATAAGTTATTACAGTGCTGTTGTACAAGTAATACTTTAAGTTATTTAAAAAGATATATTCTTATCATTAGATAACCTTTTATTCAAGATTTCTCACGATTTAATTGAGTTGTGTACATATATATCCACACCACCGCCTCTGAATTTGGTACGATCTTTACGGTAGAGGGAATTTTCAATACTTGATAAAGAGAACTTAAAAAAAATTTAGATTATTTTAATTATAAATACAATGCAAACTCACGAAGCTTTACGAGCTTCCATTGTATTTAATAAAATAAAAATGTAAATTTAGTTTGGTGTTTTTTTTTTCATATTTTTATTTATATCAAAGTAATTTTAATATTCTTATAACATAGATATTAATAAAAACTAGCTGAGTTGACCCGTAAAAATACGGGTCTTTGTAAGTCTATTCCACACAAACCTTTTGCCTTATTTACTTAATCTAGCTGTCCGTATCGGTAAATACAGGTCTTTTCTTCTACTTCTATATTTATCAATTCCACGCCAATCATTTCTTTACTTGTTCTTTATTTACTTCAATATTTTTTAGTAAACTGTGGAAAAAAATTCATTAAAAAAATTTGCTTTAAGAGCAAAAAAAAACTTTAACATACGCACTTTTTCCGCATGCGTATATAGCTTATTAAACCCCGTTTATTTTTTTATTTTTTTTTAAATTTTGAACTAAACTACTTCCTACTTTTAGACCAGTCATGGACCATGGTTTATGGTCGCGTCCTAGCCATATTCAATAGTTTACTATATTTATTATTATTATATGCTTAGTTTTAAATAATAACGGTCTTTTATAGTTATCTTTGTATTAGACGGAAACGGTAATGCAATTCTTTAAATCAGAGGCTTAGCGCGCTAACCACTCGGCCATGCTGACACATCAAATATCGAAATTTTAAAAATATATAAAAACTGTTTTTAACGGAATTGCTGTAGATCAAAAAATTAGGAGAGGTTGACGCAATGCAATTTTTAAGTCAAAGTCAAACTATAAAACTTGAAAAATGTTTCAGTATGTTTTATCATTACTTAATTACGTACGTTAGATATTTGCATACACGTTTTCTTCTAAAAAAAGTGTTGCGACTCTTTCTACTAACACTACTATTAAGTTTGGCATTATTATATAGAAGATAGATTATAAAATAGTTTTTCACTTAAAAGGACAAACTCTATTCCACATTAACCTTATCTCTATTTCTCCCTCTAATATTTTTTAGTGAACAATAGATTATGTGCTAGAAAAAAAAAAAAAAATTCACATATGCACCTTTTTCGTATATTTATATTTAGAGCTTAACACGAAGAAGGTAAATCATTTAGTTCAAGACAACCTGCCCAAACCCAAATCCTCTGTTGACTTATGCACACTCACTGTCGCTAGGCGTGTAAAATAAGTAGCTAGGCAAGTCAAATAAATTAATTGATCTGTTTTTCTGCATAAAACAAAAACAGAAAATGTGAAGTACTTGATATAAGGAACTGTAATATTGGATTTAGTTAATTCAATACAAAGTGATAGGAAACTGCAAAATAAGGTAGCAACGTGAAAATTATTCAAATGCTAATTTACAACAATTTGTATTGCGTTTTATTAAAATAACTTTATTAAATAGTATGAAGATTCTTCTTCGCCTTTAGAAAATGATTAACGATTTGAAAGACTTTTAAATTGATTATAAAAGCATTATCTAAAAATGAAATAAAATCATTATTAATAACACTGAACGCACATTTATTTGTTTTATGTTAATTCATTTGAAAAATGAAAAATACGAAACGAAATTTAGTAATATTAAAAAAATATTAGACACTTACTTTGTGAGAGTGCTTTTGTAAAAGTCTCTAATATTTGGTTGGAAGGCTGGAAATACTCTTTTTTTTTAAAAAAATTCAGTTTTATCAGCATTGCTAAAGATAAAAATTCTGTAAAAAAATCTGTAAATTAAGAAAAATCTGTAAATTAAGATATGCTATCTTTAAGTTTTAACACACATAACACTCTTAAAACTGCATAAGAATGCAAAACACATTACCTGATGGTACTGCAGATGACGCTATAGTGGAGGTAAAAAATATATATTTACATAAACTAACATATACTAATCAATCAAACAGTTTATTTTAGAGTGATAAAACCGCACACAAACATCAAAAAATGTGTGTTAAAATTAAACAAAAAGAAACATATGTGTACTTTGCTTACCAATTGAATTTTCTAAATTTTCTAAATAGAATAAAAAAAAACTCATTAACATTAGGAAAGAAACTAACATGCAGAATATTTGTCAACTTTAGGAAATCTATAAATAAAGTTGGAACAAAACAAAAGGCAAAAATAACAATCACAAAACAAAACAAACCAAAAAAGAAAAAAGCGACAAAAAAATAAAAAAATAAAAATAAAGAAACAATCCACAAGAACAATATAGTAACTTACTAAGTTGTTGAAATATAAGCCCTATAAAAAAAATGCTAAAATTTGTATCAAAAAAGCTAAAAGACCGTAGAATACACCTTTTTTTTTGAAAGTAAAATGCTATATCTTTATCTATAATACACAAATGTAATATAATCAAATACTGTTTACCCATTGAATGTTCTAATTTTTCTAAATAAAATGAAAAACTTATAAACATTAAAATAAACTAACTTGCTAAATATAGAATAACTTTATGTTAAATAAATATGTAATAAAAAAAAATAAAGAGCATGACAACAACAATAACAAATTGCTTACTTAGATTCTTAACAGAATCTTCTAATTTTTCAAAATAAAATAAATTTAAAAGTTACAAAAGTCACTTGCTGACTGACAAACTGTCACAACTGACTGACAAACTGTCACAACAAACTGACAAAAGTCAGTTGCTAAATAACTTTAAAAAAACTAAAAAAGCATAAATGTATTTGCATACACAAAAAAAAAAAAAACAACAACAAAATTCCTCACTTAGCTTGTCCATTACTTCCGCTGAACATTAAAAAAAAGTTATTATTAACAAATTGCTGAAATTGGTGAAATATATATCTTTGTAACATATCCTTCTCATACAAAGTTAGCTTACTTGGCAAGAGCTCTTCGGCTCTGATCTCTTGAACATCTAATATGTATATAGACAAAATTAATTTTCAAAATATTTACTTTTTCAATTAAACGTTTTAAGGACGTTACGTTAGGGGCGTGTTCTTAGAGTTTAAATATGATTGGGCCCGATCACTGGGACACAAATAAAAAGAAGATTTTTGAAACATCAATGAAAATAGCGGAATAAACAAAAACTGAGTTTTGGGTCCACCCTTTTAAAGTTCTAAAAATTAATTTATATATTTTTTAATTTTAGTTAAATTTTAGGGGGGTGTACTTGATTCACGGGGTTAGGGGAGGGCGGCATATCTTGGTTGATTTTAAATAAAAACGGCTAAATTAAATCATAGTTTTATTCACACCGTAAATCAAGTACAGCTCCGCCACTTTTAGAACATATGTAACTGCTACTATATATAGTATATATATATGGCTTACTTCAAAAAAATGCAGAAACTTCTTCGTCTCCTAAAGATATACAAAATTATCTTAATGTAATTTCTTAATAAAATAATAAGCTAAATATCTCAGTATTATTGATATATCATCTCTTTTTATCTCTTTAATTAATTAATGTTATACAAAATAAAAAGAATACCTTCTGTATCTTGGCTGCTCATTTCTAAAAAATAATCTTAATGTTTATTCTTGGGTCAAAAACATATTAACTTCAAACATATTAACATGGTAATTATAAAATAAGTTTAATTTTTTAAATGAAGATTACAATAATTAAACTTGTAGATACAACTTACTTGTCGTCCCTCGCTTTGCAATTGTTATAATCGATATGAAGACCACATGGCCGAGTTTTATTGGTTTTAGAGTACAGTTGGCGCACATATCATAATACAAAAATCAGATGGTTTTGAATCTATTAATTAAGCTGTTTTTATTAACGGATTTGGTGGATTTAATTAGATAACCGCAAGGTAGTTTTACAGTGGTTTAAGAGTTGGCGTACGCTTCGTAATACAAAAATCATTTAATGTTTGTTTATATCTTAATATTCGAGCATTTCTATTAGCGGATTAGGCGAAATTTTGTGGATTTCCTGTTTTTCACCTTCTGGAGTAACTAAATTTTTTTTTTTAGGTTTCAGATTACAATTTTTTTTTTCATATCTTTCCGTACTTTTTAGGACTCTTGACCAGTTAGTTTTAATAAAAATTTCAGATTGCATGTAAAACCTTTTTTTTATATATATAAGAAAGAAATTTATCTCTTTAATGTGTGTTGAACTCGCAGTTTTAACTAATTACCTAAAACATAAGTATTTCTATCATGATAAATGCGCAACAAATTTCCAACAGCGTTTTTATGTTTTTAAAAATTTTAAAAAACGTTTTAAAAAATTCTCTCCGTTTGGTTTCTTATAGTATATTATATCTTTATTTTTATGTAATGCGTATAACATCTATATGCATTTAAACTTGTTTTTCTTTGTTTTCTAGAAAACTGGATAGGATTTAAAAAAAAAATTGTGTAAGCAAAAGGTTTTGAACCGAAGCGAAGCACTTCAATCGCTGTGGCATGCTATATCATCTTTTTACACTATTTAATAAACAGAAAACTTATTAAACTTTAAAAAACAACATTTAATGCTTTAAAATAAAGAGATATTGTCGCAATGAAATTATTAAGTAAAAATAAATTGGTAGAATTTGATGTCATCTACTTTATAATTATACTGATTGATAATTAAAGAACTTAAAGTTTACATATTTAGATATTTGAATAGATTTTCGTTCACATTGATAAAATACAAATCATAACGGATTGTGGTTCCGAAAAAAAGGTTAATACACTACCATCTATAATTATTGGAAAGGTCATATTTTTTAATATCAAAGATATCAAAGTTTGGCGAAAAAGTGAAAACAATGTCTACCTGAATTATATGTTATCTTCCTATTTATTAGGTTTACCAATAAAACTTCCCTGATTAGTTTATAATTTATTCAAAGCCTTGATTAGCTTTTAATTTATTTGCCTATTAATCACCCTTAACAACAATAACCGCCATAAATATATTCTTAGCATTCTACTTAACGACTTATCTATTTAGTCTATTTTGTCACTAAGTAAAAAAAAAAAAAAATACCCATGTATTAACTGAATATCAATTTATTTATCTATTTAATTTAATATATATATAATATATAATTTAATATATATAATTTAATCTAATTAATATAATTGAAATATTACTAATCAATTTACTGATATTTTTTCTATAGCATTGTTAAAAATGGTCATATTCTGAAAGGTAAAGAAATTTATTGAAAAGAAAGTTGCACAAAAGAAAAAAAAACTAAATAAAAGTTATTCGTTTCAAAAAACGTTTTACGAAGAGTTTTTCCAAACAATTTTATCTTTAAATGGGTTTTTTTTGAATTACGTCATAAGCAAATTAAGGCGTTTTGAAAAACAGTTGCTGCATATATTTATAGTAAAAAAGTTAATGTAGCAAAATAAACTTTTAATTGTCAAAAGAAAGTTTTAAAGTTTTATCTAGCTACAGGCTTTTTTTTTTTGCCTCCACAGCAGCATCTTATGAAGTAGCAGGTCTTGTTAAGTTTTTTCTTCATTAAGTTTCAGACAACTTTTTTTTCAGACCATCCGCAGCTTATTAGGACTAATTACATTCGCACATTAATAACATAAGTGTCTCAATTATCATAGATACGCAACATATTTTTTCTCTTGGTGATGTTTTTTGTTTTTTTTAATGTTTTATGAAGTTTTAGCATTCTTAAAATCTTTTCTTTTGTGAGTGCATAATATCGTTACGTTACATATGTTTGTATATAATCTTTATAAAACTTCGAAAGTAATTTTGTATTTTAAAATAATTAAAAAAATTTAAAAAAATAGCCGCTTTTGGTAGGAGTCGAACCTATAGTTCCATGTTCAGAAGTTCGCCGCCTTATCCACTCGAGCTACACCGGCATATCACCAAGTGTAGATTTTATAATAATGTAGTAATTTTTTTGAGGAAAAAAATGTTAGATCAAAATTAAGGAGAGGTTGACGCAATGTAATTTTCAAGTAAAAATCAAACTGTAAAACGTGATAAATGTTTCAGTATGTTTTAACATATGCTTTAACATTACATAAGTTAAAGTTTACGTACGTTAGATGTTCGTTCACGTTTTCTTATAGCGCTGCGACTCTTTCTTGCCAATACCTCGGTTGCAATGGCTGCCAAGGGTTTCGTGTCAAATACGCTCCAAGGGACACTACTATTAAAACTATTAAGTTCGGCAATATTATATAGAAGATTTTATATTAAAATATGACATTAACTTTTTTTTTTTTAAATTCTATTTTATTTTTGGTATTTTTTGGTACGACGTAAGAGACGTACCCTCGATCCGCCCCTGACTTTGTAATATTTTATATTTACTTTTATATTCATTGTTAACGAATCTTTATTATGTAATTACAAAGTTGTAATATTAAGGAACGAAAAAAAAACTTAAAATAAATAAATAAAGATAGGGGAGTAATTTTATCAGATTTTAAATGTTCTGGAAGTGTTTCCTAATGAATATTGAAAACTTTAAAAATAACATAGCGGAAGTTGGGGCACAGTGGATAGAATTTCTTTATTTTTTAAATTAAGCAAAAGTTAAAATACGTATTTTATTTTTTCAAGGCGAAAGAATTGAGATATATGTCCTTCATGATAATAAATAACTAAAACCCAAATTTTTATTATCTATCGGCTTACAGAAAGGTTTAAAGTCATTTGTGTTATGTTATTCACAGTGCCCCAATACTGGGGCACAATGAATAAATGAATAAAGCCGTGAATTATTGATAGTGAATAGGGGCATAGCCAAACAACTTTGAGGCTGAAGGAATAAAGACACTGTACACTATACTTTTGGAATACTTTTGTTAACTAGATAAGTAAAAAATCGAAAAAATAGACATTTTGAAAATTGAGAAGAAATAAAAA